AATGTATAAGTGTGCTTTACACAATTGATGTATGTATGGATTGTGATGAATCGTATGAGTCCCAATAAAATGATTAATAAAAAAAAGGACATCTAAAAAAAATTATTATAGTTTTGTCATAAGTTACCCTATCCGATGTTTCCCTCTGCCTCTTCTCTGCTGTCGATTCCCCAGGGAGGAGGCAATACTTAGATTCTTGTCATTGGTTCCCCCTTTCTACCCTACATTCCCTTCACCCTCCAGGCATCGCCCCTCTCACCACTGGTCCTGAAGAAGTCATCTATCCTGGATTCCCTGTGTTTCCCGTTGCTATCTGTACCAATGTACATCCTCCGGTTCGGCATACTGCATGTTTTTTTAAAAACAATTTTTTTTAATTAAAAAAAAAAAAAAGACTAGGAGGAAAAGAAAAAAAAAGATCAGGGGAAGTGTGTTTCAGGGTTTTATCTTTTGACTCTACTTAGTCTGTTTGCTGAGCAACTAATCTGAGAAGCTGGGCTATAATGAAAACAACATGACGTTAGGACTGGAGGGAGAGTCATTAACAACCTGCGCTATGCAGGTGACACACCTTGCTTCCTGGAAGCGAGGACGACTTGAGGCACTCACTGATGACATCACAGGCGACAGCCTCCCGTCTGGATTACCCCTCAAAGTAAAGGAGACAAAAATCTTCACAACTGGACCGATCGACCAGGTCGCGCTAAACATAGGAAAGACTGAAGTCCGGAATGTCATGATCCTTCTCATTTGAATTATAGAGCCACATCAGTGCTCCTGGAGCAGCAGTTAAGGAATGCAGCGATGCACTGACCCGGGCAAGTCTGATGAAGAGCAAGGCTGCGGTCGCTTTGAGGACTAGGTGCACCTGCCCGGGGCGGTGTTTCCCCCGTCTTCTGTGCACGTGGAAGCCGGACAGGGACTGCGGAAGCTCGGACGAGCGGCTGCATTTGAAGGACGGTGCCGGTGAAGCGTATTGGAAGGACCGTGGATGGCCAGAAGAACAAGCAAATCCGCCGTGGAGAAAGTCCAGCCAGAATGTTCCTTAGAGGCAAAGATGGCAAGATGTCATCGTCCAGACTTTGGACGCATGGTCAGGGGAGACCGGACCCTGGCAAAGGACATCATGCTTAGTAAAGTAGAGGGTCAGTCAGATACCTCAAGGACGCGGACTGACCCGGTGGCTGCAAGAAAGGGCACAAGCAGAA